TTCATTTTCTTCCACAGGTTATTCTTGTACACTTTTATCTTCTTTTTACTCAGAACTCATAGGTTTCTCCAAAAGCCCCAAATACTTTCTATAAATGTTACTTTTTACTTTACTAATGAATGACTATAAGTTGGAGATCACAATACACTCTCCAAGCCAGAAAAATCTTCAGAAAATGGCACTCCAGTGATAGGTTAGGCAAAAAAGGAAAAAAAATTAAAGACATATTTACAATTATTTACATTTAGTGGAGTTCTCAAGATTTTGCCTCCCAGAAACTTTGGTGTTTTGTTGGTTATCCTTCCTTTCTGCTAAAATTTTAGCAGTTTCTCCCCAAAAAACTTTGACAACATTTGGTTATGGTGACTTTTAGCTGTTCTGTGCTCTCCCGGTAGTAAATATGTCACAAGTCAGCCTGAACTGTTCTTTAGTCAGCCTCACTTAGATTCCCTCAAGTGGATAATATTTTAAAATATTACGTAAAATTCCACAAACTAGCTACCTCCATTATTGTGTTAGTCTACCAAGAATTTCAGAAGTCAAATTCTTTATTTTAGAGACTCAAAATATCAAAAGTCCATTTTATAAATATTTCTATAAACATACTGAAACATATTCTGGCCCTTTTAATTAAAAAAAATACTAGGACACTGAAACATATTAAAGACATTTTTTACCAAAGGACAACTTAATGCCAAACAGATGTCTTAGTATTTGACATTCTATTCCAGGAAAAAAAATGTATCTATTTAGAAAACATAAATGAAATAGTTTGGATAGTTTGGTCTTTTCGATCATTTAAATATAAGAAGCATAAGATGTATAATCTTTACCAAAATTTTATGGAGAAGAATCAGAAGAGACAGGTCAAGTTAATTACTTTAAAACTCAGTGATCTTTGAGCTCGAGGGTTCCCTACCAGCAAATTCAGGGCTGTGTCCATTGCTTGCTTTCACATAAAGAAAACATTTCACTGTTGATGTTGTTAGTGCGTGCTCATGTGTAAGTTTCTGTTTCTAATGTTTTTATTCATTTAGAATGACAGAAATCATTCAACTGATAGGCAATTCTGAAATCTCTTTTCAAAGTGTCAGTATGTGTTGAGATCACGCACCCTGATTTCAGGCTTCACTGATTATATTGTATTACTAGGAACTTAGAGTGTAAAGCAATTTCAGCCTTTCAGTCTAAATCCCATAAGCAGCTTCTTTATGTGAAAAGAAGTACTGGACATAGGACTGAATTTGGTGGCAGAGAGCCCTCGAACTCAATTACATACTTAGCTATCATCTTTGAGTTTGTTAATTTTCTTAGGCATTTGGGATTATCTGAGCATTTTGCCTTAGAGTGGAATTACCTGATGCTAAAGCTGCCCTGCAAACTTTCTTCAAGGCTGCAGACAGACTCACAGACCAAATTAAGATGCTTAAATCACATATTTTATTTAATCAATTTTCAAAATGTAACAAGAAGCAACGGAAAATATTGGTGTTTGTCAACACATTTATGAGTGTTTATAAGATGCATGTGGAATGAAAGGAACTCTCCTAGAATCCAGCATCTAGGATTGGTGTGCTCATTCCTCATCCCCCTCTGCTTCATCAGCCTGTCACACTGGTGACCAGGGTTGAGGATTAGAAAGGGCACTCAGCAGATACAAGGCCATCAGAGAGACACAGGGGTGAGTGCACTTGGTCAGCAGTTTTAGCTTACTGAAAACTTGCTGAAAAGCCATAGATTTTATCCATGTGTCTCTGGCAAAGACAACATAGGATCAAAATGGGTGTCATCAGTGGGTGATAGTACTACAGTAGGAATGGAAGTGCTAACAACAAGGAGTAAAATGATATCTTTATGAATATTTAAGATTTAATCATTCATAACTGTAAGTTAATTCTCCTTTCCTAGTTTTCACCATAAATATGCTGTTTATTGTATGTCTTCCAAGTTTTACAGGTTAGCAAGCCAGTAACTACTTATCAGACCTTTTACATTTCATTGATCTCATTTGTTTATGTTGTTCCAATAGCAAAGGTGAATATCCTTAAATAATACTGCAAATGTACATTACAACCTACTTAGTGTCTTGTGTTATATCTGCAGGATTTATAAGCTTTGTGTCTTTATAGCTATAAAAAGCAGCCAGATGGGGTACACCTTTTTAAACAATTATTTTAGCATTAAAACACAGATGTATAGGCTAGAGAAGTCTAACATTAAAACATAAATGAATAATGTACAATTTCCTCTCTCTTTGCTTTAAGTAATTACTGGGAAAATTATATTTAATTTAATGGCATGCTAAATAATGATTTACAATGAGTTAAATGATATATCAGTTTGTATCATTTATAATTTATTATTAATTTTGCAAGGTAAAATTATATCAAGTACTACTTTAAATTTTAAATTTATAAACAGATTAAAATATTTCCTTCAAATCTTAAAAGAAAGTTTAGGGTAGAAGCCAGAGACTGAAGTTAAATTTCTTTGTTCTTGGGTAGGGCTTTTTTTTTATGGTATTAGATTTTGACTTCAGTCCTTGAAGATATGTTCCTTGGAGACCCATTGGCTTTCTTAGTCCATTTCTTTGTATGTAAAAGGGAATTATATATAAAAGCACCTTGGATCATTTGTAAATTGCAATGAAAGGATCACTGTAAGACTTCTAATGTGGTGCTGACATTGTAGGCACAAATACATAAAAAAGGAAGGGAAAGAGAGAGAAGAGGGATGAGAAAGAGATGAGAAAAAGAGAGAGAGAGAGAGAATCTGAAAGCTGAGTAGGGCTACATTCAGGTGGCTATAGTGCAGGATACTGTACTGGAGAAGGAAGGGTTATAGTTGTATTCCCTCAAACAGGATGGAAAGTTCTTGTACTAAACACAACACTGAGTGTGGTGTCCTCAGAATGATCATGCCTGACATTTATTGAAGCTTGTTTAATTTCCATGTATCTTAAATTTTATTAGATGTATTGTTATAGCTTTCTAATTTAATCTTATTTTGGCCAGATAACATGCTGTTATACTTGAATACTTTAAAATTTATTAATCGTTTAAATTTATTTGGGCTCAGAATACAGTCTTTCCTAGTGAATGCATCATATGTATTGGAAATGAATATGTATTCTGCAGTTACTGGATTCAGAGTCCTCTAAATGTCAATGAAGTTTAAGTGTTTGACTATTATTTTAGTTGATGTATATCTTTATTGAATTTTGATCCAATAACAGAATTCAAACATAATTGTGATTTAATCTTTATATCCTATTGATTTTATCTCTTCAATTCTGAAGCTTTGTTTTAAAGTATGTTCATATTTAAATTTGATATAGTGCATACTCTTGCTGTGCTGATTTTTGGGTCATTATTAAGTGTCCTTCATTATCTTTGGAAGTACCTTTCTTCCTGGAAGCCTATTTTGTCTGATACTGAAACAGCTACTTCAATCCTTTTGTGCCCATATAAAAATATTGCCATCAATTTATTGTAAATTTACCTATATCTATTTTTAAAGGTAAAATTTTTATGAAGGCATTTAGTTCAATTTTTCTCTTTTATCTATTCTGACAAACTTTGTTTTTGAGTTTTTAATGTATTAAAACAATATAATTACTGATGCCATTGAGTATAGATCTACTTTATTGGTTAGTTTTTGTTTATCATGTTTTCCCTCTTTTTGATTATTTGAACATGTCCGTAAATACACACAGAGACACATACATAGAACATACATACACATAAACATTTATATATTTATCTTTACTACTTCCAGAAGTGTTTCAGTGGCTGCTGTAGCAATTACAATATAAGTTAACATTTTCTTCTACTTAGAGTTAATATCTTGACACTTAAAATACATAAACTTTGCACATATATAGTTCTATTTATTCCACATTTCTATTCTATAGATGTTACATACATTATACCTACAGACACGTATTGCCAATAAGACAATGTTATCACTTAAGAGGAAAATTGCATTTAATTACTTTTGAATATTTCAATTTCAGTTGCTATTCATCCTTTCCTGATGATGAGTTTCCCTCTAGTATAATTTTTATATTCACCCAAAGAACTTCTTTTAGTATTCCACATACTACAAGTCTTCTAACAAATTTACTTGATTTTCATTATTCTAAAAATATCTTCATTTGTCCTTCATTCCTGTTATGTCTTGTTTATCTAGATATCCCTCCAAAGCCTCATGTGCTCACAGGTCTCTGGATCTAGGATATGTGCACATGGATTAAGGGTGTGCAGTGATTAAATTAGTTCACTGATTGGTTAGCATAGTTCTGGGTGTGGATTATGATTATATGATTATGATTATAGTTCTGCGTGTGGATGGCTCCATTGAATGGGCTTGTAGCTTGACTGGAATAAAAGGGAAAGGGAGGCTCACTGCTTGCTCTTTCCTGCCTGGTCTGCTATGGAGTATTTTTCCTCTGCATGCTCTTCTGGCATTCTGCCCTGCCATGGACCCTGCTGACTATGAACTGAAACCTCTACAAATTGTGACCTAAAATAAACCTTTCCTCACTTTATTTGTGGGTGTTGGGTGTTTTGTCCCAGCAAACAGAAAGTAACTAAGACAATTCCTGAAGAATTATTTTTCCTGAAATAGAATTCTGGATTGATTGTTCTCTCCTTTAGCACTTCATAGATATTTTCACACTGTTATCTGCCCTCCATTGCATCTGTTACAGTTGAATAGGCCCAAAATAGTCCAGGTTCTTGTGCATGAAAAGGAAAGAACTGTCAAACATACACTTTGTAGTAAATGGTAAGTAGCTGTGTCTATTAAAGATCACTGGACTATAGCAGTAGGAACAGACACAAAGGCAAAAGGAAAAAAAGAGGAGAAAGAGGAACCCGCTGTAACTCAGGCTTCCAGGATTTAAGGGGTCAGATGCCTCTAACTCCAAGTGATGGTAACACACCTTCTACTCCAGGTGCCTCCCATTGTGGTCAGATACCTCCAACTCTAGGTGCTTCCCATTTTGGACAGACACCTCCGACTCTCGAAGACTTTCCCTGTGGTCAGATACCTGCCTTGAAGTGCCTCCCATTGTGGTCAGACACATCCAAATCCAGGTCAGTCGCACTGTGGTCAGACACTTCCAATGTAGGTGTCTCACATTTTCGTCAGACACCTCCAACTCAGGTGCCTCCCACTGTGGTAAGACACCTCCTACTCCAGGCCTCCCATTGTGGTTAAACACCTTTAATCCCGGTTCCTCCTGTGATGGTCACGCACCTTCTACTCCAGGTGCCTCCCATGGTGGTCAGACCACTTCTGAGTCCATGTGGGTCCCATTTGTGGTCAGACGTCTCCAATTCCAGGAGCCTTCCATTGTGGTTAGGCACCTCTAACTCCAGGAGCCTTCCACTGTGGTCAGGCACCTGTAACTGAAGGTGTCTCCCACTGGGGTAGGACATTTCCAGTCCAGGTGCCTCCCATAGTGGTCAGACACCTCCAACTCCAGGTGCCTCCCATTCTGTCTCTCGCAGGTGTGGATGACCAGCCACCTTGAGCATTGCCACCTCATAAGTCATGGGTAGTCATTAAGGTGGTGTTGTGTTTATAGTTGAATGAAGGGAAAGGAGTGCCTCTCTCAATTTGTATCACTATCCTATATGTGATGTGTCCTCTTCCTTGGACTGCTTACATATTACCATAATCTTTATTTCAGCAGTTTGACTGTGATGCACCTAGGTATGGTTTTCTTGATATTGATTCTGCTTGGAATTGGCAGGGCATTTTGCAGTTGTAAATGAACCTGTTTCTTTAAGCCTGAACAAAATTTTAGCAAGTCGACTCATTTTTTCGTCTTCTTTCTTCCTTTGACTCCAATTACATGTATCACAGGTATATCTGTGATATATACATATATATATATCTCTATGGTATATGTCTGATATATTCCTAGAGGTAGTTGAGTCTCTTCATTAAAGAAATTATGTAACATACATAAAAACATAATTGTATATAATAATGTATATAATAATGGAATGCCATCTGATGTTTATATATATGTATATATGTTGTATAATATTTAACTAAATTAAACATCTAATAAAAAGCCTATCATCTTGTCATAGTTAACATATTCAAAATTCTTTCTTCTAACCTGTTGAGATACTATACAGTATGCAACTGGTATCTATAGCTGCCTTACTGTGCAATAGCATATCAGAACTTCTTACTCCTCGTTCATTTTAGTACCCATAAATCAAACTTTCCCTATCCCTTCTGTCCATCTAATCTTACCAGACTCTACTGTTATTTAGTCTTAAAATCCATGAGATCAATTTGTTATATTCCACATTCAATAATTTACATTTATATTTATTATAAGTGTGTAAGGACTTTCTTCTGTCATTTTGATAAATTTCTGTTTTGAGTAAAATTTGTTCTCTTGTTAAGCTTTGTGATTGGTAGTTTTTTTGTATTGTAATAATCTTACAAATTCATTTCTATTTCTCTTTTTGTGTACACTTTACCAATGGGTTTTATATATCTATGTGTTTCCATGATGGTAGTTATGTTTCTTTTGCTTCTAGATGTAGGACGTAGTATGTTTTAAAAAGTCATTCAGGTGGTGATGAATTGCCTTAGTTTTTGTTTGTCTTTTAAAAGTCTTTATTATTCCTTCACTTCTGAAGTATAGCTTTGTTGGATATAGTGTTCTTGGTTGACAGTTATTTTCTTTCAGAACCAAGAATATGTCATTCCATTTCTTCCTGGTTGTAAGGTTTCTGCTGAGAAATCTGCTGTTTGTTAAATGGGGCTTTAAATATGGTTTCTGTTCTAATTTTTATAATTCTTTTGGTTTTGTATCTTCACATTTTGATTCTAATATATTAAGCTATAAGGCTGAGGATCTTTTCTGTTTGTCTAGCTTGTTTCCTATGGGCCAAATTTACATGGGTGTGTAAATCTTGCCCAAGATTTGAAAAATTTTATCTATTGTTTCATTGAAGAATTTTCTATGCCTTTCCTTTCTCTTCCCCTTTAGAACTCCAAAAATGTACTTGTTTAATGTGCTCCCAAAGGGCTCAGATATCTTTCCTTTTTTTCTTTTCTTTTTTTTTTTTCTGGGATATTTCAGAAGACCTGTCTACAACTTATGATATTTGTTCTTATGCAATTTAGTCTGTTGTTCAGGATTTCAACTATATTTTTGATTTATCAGTCTCTTAATTTCTAAGATTTTCGGGGTCCTTTGTAAAAGATGTCTTATCTCTTTGCTGAATTTCCCATTCATTTCATTCATTGTCTCCCCAGTTTTGTTTCACTGGCTGTGTTCTCTTTAATCTCATTGAACATCTTTACAATCATTCTTTTATATCCTTGTGCTCGCTTCGGCAGCACATATACAATCATTCTTTTATATCCTTTACCAGGGATTTCTTCAATATTGTTATCTTTGAAGCTAGTTTTTGCAGAGTTGTGTTAATTTGGATGTGTTCTTTTATCTGTACACTCCTATTTCCTCTAATCCTGCTCAGATTTGTGCAACTGGTAGATCAGTTATCTTTACCACTTTCATAGGCTGGCTTTTATAGTAAGTGTTTTTCTCCTGAAGATGTGTGTTGGGGTATCAGTTGGTATGTGATGGTGGCTTTTGTTCTCATTGGGCAGTGTAGTATAGTGTCTCTGTGGCTTCTTTATAGTTAACAACATTGAACATTTTAAATGCCATGGTGCTGGTAAAAGAACTGCTGTGTGGAGATCAGATGGGAAGAATGAGGCCTAATTGGCCTTCTTGGTGAGTACTGAGAAGAGGGCATGCAAGTGTCCTAACATTCTGCAGGGAAAAGTGAAAACACCTGAGGTTAAGTTGTTTACTTGGAGAACTACCATGGAGGATGGGAGACAGATGAATCCTGTGGAACTTTAATTGCTCTTGCCTGTGTCTGAGTGAATAAAGCCAAAGCACACCAATGATTTGGGGCTCTATGTGAAAGGGAGACATGAACACCCTAGTCCCCCAGATTTTAACTTGTTTCTGTGTCTCTTTATTTTTCTCTCTTTGTCACCCCTTGGTCAGGTTCAAGCTCAGCTTGTAAGCTGGTTTCTACACCACTGTTCTAGGGGTCACGTAGAGTTAAGGTCACTTTACCAGCCCAGGCAAGGTACACACAGCACTGTGTATACCAGTGCCCACTCTGACCACTTTAACAATGGGAGTGGTGGGAGTGGTCAGGTAATCATTTTTTCCGGTGCTCCTCAGGTTAGCAGTGCTGCTGTCAAGGGTCTGTAGCACTGGCAACTCCAACAGTGGTGAGAGTCTTAAGCCCAGTCATGGCACATGAAGCAGCAGCAGAGAGCAGAGTACCCATTCTCTGTACCTGCTCTGAGCTCTGGCAGGTTAAGCAGTTCTAGCTGGTGCTATTTTCCGGCCCTGTCAGGGCAGAAGTGGTGTGGGAGGGGGAGGAGTAGCTGTAGGAATCATGGTACACGTGACAGTGACACTCTCACAGGACATGAGGTAGAGGTGAATCTACCCCTGAAACTTGTTCTCAGCCCCACCAGTGGTGTGCACCCACATGCTGCTGCCTGCAGCAGGGAAGTCATAGCAGGGAACTCCATGGGTGCTTGTTTCACTCGTGGCATTGGCCTGAGCCCACACATGTGGCCTCCTCCCTAGATCCCAGAGGACCCACACCTGGCCTCTTAGTGCCTAAGGATGTTATTCACCAAGGTTAAATTCTGCTTACTACTTCAAAACAAATATCTGAGAGACAAGAGTAGATGGGAAGAGAAAAAAGCTATTAGGATGAACTAGCTAATTAGAAAATGCCCAGGCTATTGTTATAGGGACCGTCTCAAGGAATTTGGGCATACAAAGAATTTTTATAGAATGAAAGAAGAACGGGAAGGTTCAGTGTGAGTCATATGTTCAAGTTTGATAGCCGTCTCCATCATTTAGTGACGGGGCCCGCCGTCATTAGTCGAACAGTACCTGAGAGGAGGGGTGAGGATGAAAGAAAAAACACACTTCAAAAGAAAAAGAGTCGTCCGGGCTCCTAAGACCGAGCTACGAGTTTATTTTTCTCTTCCCTTTTTATACAACCCTCGAGTTTGTTACAGGTGAATTTGGTTGTTACAGCTGAGTTTGGTTGTTACATCATGACCCTTATCCAGGGACACCTGCTTCCCTGCTTTCCAGTCCTTTGGCAATTCCCCACCCTCATGGGCCTTCCCGTTTCTCGGGGCTACAGAACGTTCATCACATTCCAGGGCAATCTCTGAAGGTAAACATCCAATTTAGGTAAGGACGCGGTTCCTCATAACATAGTCTCCATACAATGGAGGGTAAGATTCAAAATGGATTCTCCTTAGCTACCACCGCTCCCCACAATTTAGAGGATGTTTTTCTTTCTCTTTTGCTGTAATATCCTTGCAATAACAACCAGCCTTCATCTTATAGGCCATTCCTGGTAAATTTTTTATGTAAACATGTTATTTTTCTGGAAGTAAATATTACTTCACTTTTAATGAAGAACAGGATCAGCAAGTATTTGGCTGCCACTTTGAGGTTATCTGAATACCATTTGACATTCCTGATTCTTAAAAATTGAAAAAAAATTACTGATTAGGAGGTCTTTGAACCAGTGTTTCTTTTGTTGCTTTTCCTGTGATGGCTGACTCCAACAGTTCATATCTTTGTCATTAAAAGGTGCTTTTCTTTAGATGTTGCAATGCTGGGCAAAAGAGGAAGAATAAAGAATAACTTTACAAGAGGCAACTTGAGTGTAGAATAGGATAGCATAACCACAGTGGCACTGCTGTTATCACTCCTATGAGGGTAGCAGTCTCCATTCTCTGCTGTGCTGAAGCACCTGCCCCTTGCAAGGGAGGACATTGAACAGCGAGAATGCTGGGTCACAGCTGCTCTGCTGAATTCAGTTGTGTTAGCAAGGCTGCAGCTCCCTCTGCTAGTCTGGTGGAATGTTTGTAAAGTCACAAAAATGTAGATTTGTGGGAATCTTTGATTCTCAGAGGATTATAAATTCAGACGTAGCTCCCTTCTCCACATGGCAACTATCTACACAAACCTAGTTGTGGGAACTGGTGAGAGGACAAT